AATGATCCTGAGACAATTACATTGGCGTCGTCTTCGCTCAAGTCCCAGAATTTGTTACTGTATCGATGAGTCATCAGTAAGAGACCTTCTTGTACACTAAAATTCTTTCGAACTATACTGCTGGCTCGAAAGCTTGGGTCCTCAGTGCAAACGGATCTGCCTCAGCTAAATGTATACTTTCGATTGGTCTCAAAAGTGTTTGCCGTAGCGTCGATCGTCAACGGATGAATCGTCCTGAGAAAATTTCGACGGGAGCAGCAGAAAAATCTTTCATACAGCAAAATAACGGCAAGGTCGATTTCCTTAATGCTTGACTCAAAATTACAGTTTACGGATCGCCTATTTCACGGAATCGATTACTTTGCTCCTGTCAAATTTTCCAATGTAGTCGCCTCTTAAAAATTCGTTTCCTTAAATCACTGAATAGATTAGATGTCGAGTCGTCCACTTCGTGATCCAGTGTCGTCAAGTAATAACTGTCAGCGGGAAGATGAAGCAGATTAATGGGCAAAATTTAAAAATAAGCGGTTCTTCTGTTGAAAACCATGGATCCAGATGCGATTTATCACGGAGAACATGAGGGCTGCAGCCGCTGATTCACCGCTCTGTTCATCAGCCTAAGAGTGGCAGTACTTGCCCTCGTAAAAGGTTCGTGGCGGAGGGGGACAGGGGGGAGGAGGTGATGTGGCTTAAGTCAATATAAGGCTTGGCAAAATAAAGTTCGCGGTTTAGGCAAAGATAGGATTTCAACCCGCGGAGAACTTGAGGACAATATGTGTCTTGGATGGAAATAGAACTAGGGCCAATGCGGAACCTTAGGCGATATTGGGCAATTTCCCTGCTGCTAATTCCCCTATGTGATCTTGCCGAACAATTGTTTGAATTGAAATATAGTTGCGGTCGTGACAGTGCTTTTGTAAAAACAGAGGTCAGGTGACTTGAGGACTTAAGCAGACATAGGATTTCAATCGAAATAGTACTTTGGTCAAATAACGGCGTGTGTAGAGATAGGGCTTGGATTGATACATGATGAACTTTAACCGAAATGATTGACTCTTTTTGACAAGATAGCACTTGTCTCGAAATGCTAGATTTGGCTTATTTTGAGTGATTTACTGTTCTAGACGTTAATCCAACAGCCGCCGCATCAAACCTCGCCACGTTATTGGCCGAAATAAGACTGTAATCAAAGTATGGTTTGGGAAGAGTTAAAGCTGTGGTAGAAAAAAGGGGCTCTGATCGAAACACTGGTGGGATTTAACCAGCGATTCAGACGAGAGCTCTCTGGTCGAGAATGTCGCCGTCTTTTGTTATCGTCGTCATCAAGGGCTAAATAGCAGAGTAACGCAGATTTATGTCTAACCTTCAAAAACAGTAGATTGATAGCAGGCGGCCTTCACCGCTGTGGCAAAGATAAACATATGGCTGATTCACTGCCTTAGCCGCTGATTCAATGACGATTTATCAAACCTTACATGAATATCGTTGAAATGTTAAACCATGTAGCCCCTATGGTGTAATCTTTCGCTTTTTTCTAAGGGAGCATTTCTTGCAATGCCCAAATTCAGACCTGCATATTTTCGTGTCTCTTTTCATGTCCTTCCATTGTGTCAAACACTGTTATTTCAAAGTCTCTTTAGTCTAAGCTTGTGCCGTCTATCTAATATAAGAAGTGCACCGTGGAATTGCCGTTTTATGCGCAACGCGTCCTTCATTTCCATAATTTTTTAAATTACATGATGTAAAAGGTGTGATTCACTGTGCTGATTCATTTCCAACTATCCTATGTGATTAATGTGATCTGTTTTATTCAATTTTGTCAATTTTCAGATATCAACAGCCCAGTATCGGTTTTGTGTCATGACAAAAGCATAGAGGACGGGCAGTTATTAATCTTTGCACTAAGTGGTTGAAATTACTTTGAAACTCTTTTCATGCGTGTCCAACTTTTCAACGAATCTTGTATTGCTTCACATGAATTTTCCTCCTCATGAACCCTTGCATTTATGAATTTTCGATTCTGGCGAGGCCTGATACACAACAGTTCGAACAACTGAACCTCTTCCTTATTTTTGGTTGCTTAGGGGTTGGCATTTAAGCAGGTTACGAATCCATGGCATTACGAATCCATTTGAGCAGTGTCAGATGCATCTCACGTCACTCTGTTTGCTGCAGCCATCTCGCGCTCATCATCACGAAAGATGCTTCAGGTGCTGATACTCCTCACATGCTACCGCACAAATATCATAAGTTATTCATGTATCAAAAAACATGACACTTCAAAGTACAAATATTTCAGTCTTCGATATTCGAATTATGGTAAATGCTCGGTGCCGGACCAATGCGCTGTTGTTCTCATAGGAAAATTCTAAAAATGGTGATAAACCCAAGTATGAAAATGTTTATAACTGCTGAAAGCAGTCTATTTCCACAAGGATGCTAAGAAGTGCGATATTTTGTCAAAACTAATGTTGGTCTTCATGTGATTTGCACCGTTCCTCTGCTTCTGGTCGCTTAAGGAGGCATTTAAGCAGACCAGGGCTCCACAGGATTTGTGTATAAGCTGTACATGGAGACAATACCTCGTCGAAGAGTTAGGCCGTATGGGCAGTGCTTGAACAACAAATGAAATGCAACAATTTATAGACCTTTATATATCTTACCGTTTGGAGTGCTAATCCGTAGATTCCCATATAAATTCATTATATCGGTAATATTGTGGCTTTACTATACTATTCAGCCTACCCCTACGTCTAAGCTCAAAACGGCTGCCTGTATGTTACAGTTTATGCCACGGTTTTGACGTAGTCTAAGGTTTAGGAGGCAATGAGACAAAAAATATACATTACCACTCTGGATTGAAAAACATATTAGTTTCAATTCATACCGGTATGGACTATTTATCACTCTGGAGGGCAACATATGTACCGAATATGATTTAAATAGCTTTGACTATCTGAGAAAAATAGCTGTCTTAAGTAGTTAACAGCAAATGGAGAGTACGGAAGAACACGTACTTAAATTACGGCAAAACGGTACGAGATTTTTCTTGCCAATCGAAAACTGCTACCGTTGTGACGTCAACATCAAATATCGTAAAACTAATATGCTATAATGATGTACTACGTCCTCAGCTAAAATTGAGTCTTTTTCTGTCTTGTAGTCAGACATCATTAATTTTGGTACTCTGTCCTTGACCCTGATACCCCAGATGACGATGACAACGACAAACAACATGTCTTGTGCTGTTACTCATAGGATTTTTGCAGACAGCATAGGCTAGCTGTGTGTACGAACCAATACATTCCACCTATAACAGGGCAAGTGCATAGAACGTAATCTTACACGTGTATGTGCCACAGAGCACCTGCTGATCTGTAAAGTGCTGCAAAAATTCCGAATACCCTACATCAAGGAAGGCCTAACTTGCGTCGTGTATAAACGAGTCGTTGAACGCACTTTCCTTAGCAAAACAGTGTTGCTAGCACTTATGGCTTCTAAAACATTTCTATTTTTGAGCAGAATATTCAGAAGAATGTTCCAACTCTATACCAAGAGAAACAGGATGGCAGTACCCTCTGTGCTAATTCCAGAAAAGGCATGGTGAAATCATTTCGTAACGCCGGCAGCCCTATAAATAAAGGGATGACGAATTGTGTACAAGAAAGGCTGAAGATTCCACATGTACCTAAGGAAAGATATCTAGAAATGAATAAATAACATCATCCTCATTCGATCGTTTTTCCAGGCATAAGCCCGTATATCCCAAAGCCAATCTTTTGTGTTCCAGTCGTATAAAGTGGTTATGTCTTTAGCGTACGTAACAAGCTTGAGAGGTACAGGACAAATGATCCTTCACCAGCTACCTCATAAAACATGGAAAGACATGGTGTCTTTCGTTCAGTTCAGATCGTCTGTCCAAATTACTGAGCGAAATCGATTAAGCGAAGGACCTACAAAATTTCAGAGGTCAGAGGTAGAGATAGGAGACGCGCCGTGAGTCATCTTGAGGAGACTCAGCCGGAGTGATCATCATCGTTGACGTATGATTCGGCTTTGGCGGTGATTCGCATGTATGATAGTGATCGTTCGCGCTTGGTCGACTGGTCGGCCGGCCGACGGTCATCCATTTGCCCTGCCAGCGGCACTGCTGTCTCTGTTCTTCGACGGAGATGGAAATCATCATCTAACGGCGAGCTGCTGCCTCCGTTTTTTTCTCCCAACGGTCCTCCCTAGGGTACATGGCAATTGATGAAGAAGAGTGCTCGTCTTTGTTACCTATTCAATCAGAAGACGCTGGAACGAAGGGAGCTCGTGATGGAGAGCGGCAACGATTATGCCATGCGATCTACCGTCTCCTTTTCTTTATCGACGACCGTGGACGTTACTGTGGTAACCAAAAATTACGTGCACTACCTGCTTATAACAAAATCACTGCTGCCTGACCCCCTCCCCCCTCGTTAATGGCAAACACCTACCTGTGCTGCATGTACTTTGCATGTTTTGTTCTGAACCTTGATGCTTGGGATCAGTTTATATTGCTGAATTGGTGAAAGTGCTTTTCCTCAAGGCTAAGACAATACAATCTATATGCCGGAAGGTTATTTTACGTTACGTTAACTTCAATAAATTGTCCCTTAAGAAATTGGGTGACATCCACAACAACCGCCGGGTCAGTGCGTGATTAAGATCCTGTCAGATGATTGGAAAGACCATGAAAACATAGGCTGGTCATAAGCATAAGTGAAAGTTGCCGCAGATTATTTGTGCATTCCGATTTAAATACAAAAAATTCATATAGGGTATTTGGTTCATTTGATACCCTCTCCTTGACCCCCTCTCCTGACGCCAGAGTTGACTGTCGCTTCCGCCACTTCGTCCATGTGCCGCTTGCGCCAATGCGCATACCGTAAGAAAGCAACGGGACGACCGGCCACCAACGGCTCTTAGATAGCGTTGAAAATCGATGAATATGTGGCAAAATTAAAGAACCAGCACAACTTTCAGTCATGTCAGCAGTGCATACAGTTAGCAGTCCGCGCTCGGTGTCTACCGTAACCTACGCTGCGGCCCTCGCTGCGCGTTTGATTCCAAAACACCACTGCCACATCAATCGACTCCAACAGAAAAACTGTGGTGTTACCTGAACATCCCCCGGAAGGCTAACAGTAGAGCAGCGTATCTGAGAAACGGGGTCTGAGCAGATGGCCGGTGATTCCTTTGTTTCAAGAACAGGTGCTTTGATGTCGTGCGTCGTGGCGGTCGTCGGTATGTCGGTTGACCGATCGGAAACCGCCATCCGTCTACCTCGTACGATGACGACCGGTCTTCGGTGTGCTTTCGGTTTGGTTGAGGAAATTTAAATTTTCATTTCGTAATTACCACCGCCGCGACGGTGATGCACAAAGCGGCACATCTGATGATCATAGAAGGGAGGAAGACAATCCCGGGACAACGACGACTAGAGGACGAGGATGGCGATTACGTTTGTGCTTCTGTATCGATCAGAGGAGCTTCTGTAACCGCGTGTTCGGTGCTAATAGAGAAGGAACAGGCGCTGTCCATTCATCATAAGTTTATTGACGAACAACAGGCGCTGTTGTTCGCCGTCCCCGTCGCCGGCGTGTACCGCTTTGGAGATTGAATCATGGGTTATGTGGTGGATAGAAGGCAGTGTCGAAGGTGATCTCTGATAAACAAGTCGTTGCAACATGGAATTCGTGCAACAGTTGTGAATCTTTCCATCAGAAAAAGGACTAACAGCTTATTGGGGAGTAAAGGATATTGTGAAATAACTTCAAATTTCGAACCTTACTCAGATGAGGTCATTTGTTCATTGATCAGATCAGCTTTATTCGACCAGTTGTTGGATAAAGACACCAGCGGATTCGAGAATACGGCTAGCAGTATCCCTATTCATCGAGGGAGATCTAGTGAGTGGCCCAATTATCAGGGCATTACCTTACTGAGCCTCTTTAATAAAGTCTATGATAAGGTTTTAGAGAAGACTTGCCGCGGAATAAATGACTCCAAGATAGAGCAAGAGCATTGTAGCTTTTTCCCAGGCCAAAGCATGACCTATGGCTGTATCTTTGCCTTAGGCCAGATTGGAAATCGTGCCAGTTCCCTTATCCGGTTTACATATGCTTCATTGCCCTGTAGAAATCCCATTACTGGACCCAGCGCAACAGGCTATGGCTGTGGCTGCACACGAATGGTATCGACAGTCAGTTGTTATGAGTCATCCGATTATTATATATTTAGGGCAAGCACCATTTCAGAGTAAATGGTATTAAGTCCAGATCTTTCAACGTTGTCACTCGTTGAGGAAGCTTTTCGCCTCAATTTCTGCTAGTGCTTTACATGACTCCAGAAAAGTACTCCACAGCCATGATGTCGAGTTATTACTGTACGAAAAGTCGAGACGAGAAGTTCACGTATTTGCAGACAAATTGTTTTGCTCGAAATTTCCAAAACTGATTTCAAGCGCTATCTGAAAATGCTTGCAACCGAGTCCGGGGTAGCCGGTACGCATCTGAACGTATCTTAAACCAAAGCCTAGTGCTTTCTCGTTTTCTTACCGACTGTGATCGGCTGATAAAAGAAGAGGAAGTGGAACGGGCGAGGTTCATATACCTCCGGATTGTGTTAATAGGTGTTACAAATGCGGTGAATAATCTACCGCAGAATTGAAATGGTCAGAAACGTTTTGCATGAACTTGCCATCCGGTTTCTCTAAACGTCGCCATACTAAAGTCGCGTTTAGTTAGCGAACTGAGGGGCATCATTGAGCTATTTCAATATTTTTTCCTCAATGATAAATACAGATGGGCTTCTTCGGTTCTGTTCCTTAGCCATCGATATGTGCATGATGAATTCGTCGGTTATACATCGAGTCCATTCCTGCGCCGTCTGCCTCTGCAGATTCATGTTCGGATCCAGCACTGTCGAAATCCATTTTTTAAACATCGCATTCCATTAGAACTTGGCTGATCTCCTCAAGTACTTTCACTTGCTCTATCTTATGTTTCTTCTCAACTTCTTTGATGTCCATTCTCGCTGTTACCTTATTTTTAAGTTTATTGCAATACTTCATATATAATATGCACTTCCCTGACACAGAATGAAACAGAATACGGTGTATCTCATTGCCTATTGCTTCTATATGCCCGAAGGACCAATCAAGCAAAGTGTAGTTTTACAGCTCTATTTATTTGTATATATATATAT